CACTTGAAAGGTTAGAGGCAGCTGCATCAATTTGCGGTGTATCACGAAAATTATATCTATACCGTCTATATATACCGTACCATCTCAACACAGAGAGAACCAACTGATGTTGTGGGTGTATGGACCTGTTCTGCATTGTGTATACATGAACGCTCGCCCTAAGTAGTTTGGTGCGCACCCACCGATGCAGGAGTTATTGACCCAAAGAGGGACCTCTGACTCACTCAATATTGGGTGCCAACCCAGCTCGGTTGACCCATGCGACAATCTATTTGTGAAACTGAACATGTCATAATGTAATAATGTAATATTTTATTCTTGAACTCCTTGCCTTCCATCGTTTCCCTAACATTCGGATCATGAAACACTTCAGTATAACTTTATAACTTAATATCTTAATTCAAATGGTTCTGTGATTGCCCAAACCAGGTCTGCATGACTCGTGGACCCGTAGCCGAAGTGAAGCACTAAGTGCTTTGGACCTCATTTTAAACCTGGTGAAACCTTAATCGCTGTTTTTAGTTTTCATGCACGAAAACGCCTGCCAATGCGTCTCTTGGCTCAGCAAACAGACGTACGAAGTCCCTTTTTTGTGCTACTCGTCCTTACTCGCCGCGCGAACGTGCGGACAGAGACGCACGGTGGCCATGTTTTGCTGTTGTGCTGCGGAGGAGAGGGGATCGGTCGGCTACTACCGAATTAGTTTCTCGCCGCCACGGCAAGCGATTGGGTCTGAAAACCAAAATTATTCGAGCTGGATGAAGATGATGAAGAGTCTTTCTCTCTTTGTGTTTGTTTGTCTCTCTCTCTCTCTTTCTTTTGCTCTCTCTCTCTCTCCTTGTATTTGGTCATCGTTTTAGCCCTTGAGTGAGCCACTCGAGCAGACCAGCTATCAAGACCATTGATTGGCCTCCCCAAAATTGATGTCTTGCCCAGACCACCGATGGGACTGGAATGGTGACTCCTAAGTTTCAGTATAAGTTACATATTTAATTACCCCATTTGCATTGGAAGCCGGAAAAAACTATGGCCTGGTCACACTGGGGTCTCTATCAATCAATGACATGCGGACGATGCTGCCATGCATGCGGACGCAGATGTTCATGTTTTTCTTGTTGGAAGAGGAGATGCCCATCGAGAGATGTCTCATGTCAGCCACTTCGGAGGTGTTGTTCTGTTTTTTTTCAAGAGTTCACATTCATGTCATCCAGAAAAGAAAATGTTCAGTAAAGTCACGAAAGGTAGCCTCAGGCTACCTGAGTTCTCCTTGCCTAAGCAAAAATGTATTGCCTGCTTCGTTCACCCCCTCCTCTCTCAAGTTGTTGATTGAATCCCAACATCAATCAGCCAGAGGTAGTTCGCCGGCCCAGTCTTTCCGGTGTTCGCTGGGACAGGAGACCACGATGGCGGAGGTCGCCTCAACTGCTGCCGCTTGGCCAAGCTGGAACGTGGAGCAGATGGAGGTGGAAGGTAGTGGACGAAGTTACAGTGAAGGGGTGTGGGATTAGAGAGGCGCCTTCTCTTCAGGGTCGTACTCCCAAGGAGTGAATCAAGGGCTTGGAGTCTCATATTCCGGACCAGGAGCTACAGCGGGGTTCTGATAGGTCCTACAAATATATTGCAGTGGTCCCATGTCGCAGAAGTCTCAACATGGATGGACACCATCTGCAAGGATGTCCTATGTCCTTCTTAGAGCATGATATGATATTAGTGACGTCACTGCCTTTCCAAAGGGTTCGGGCGGTGTGCCTTCAATCGCCTCAGAGCGGAAGTGGAACCGACTGTGGAACAGACTCACGTGTTGTTTGGGGGCTTGTGTCTTTTGGTGATCTCACTGATGTCTGGCTTTTTCATAGCAAACACGCAGGGCTTAGAGTGAACGCACTTGAAAACACTTATGATATGTAATAGATATATGTTATATGTATATTATATATAATATATTCATAGATGATCATAGATGATCATAGATGCATAATCCCTAGGGCTCCAACTACCTCCATTTTGCTTCGGTGGTTTGGAATGGTTTGGGTGGGTGGGTCTAACTACTGTACCTATACTGTACCTGCTGATTCAGAAGGTTCTGAGAAGTTCACTAGTTTATCTCTTTTCACTAGTTTCACCGTTCTAATAGCTTCTTGTTCCTAGTAGTAAGGCCAGGAGCCCCGAACGTAGCGTTCTTGCTCCTAGTTTATGTGGTTTGTTGAACTCTCCTTAGATTCTCAGAGTTGGACACCCACACGGTTCACGCGCGGTTTACATCATCCACCGGTGTTTGGTCTCGGTACGCGCGGTTGAGTGGGTGATCCGTCATCGGTGTTTGGTTTGGTCGTCCCGGTCATCGGTTCCCAAGGTCTTGGAGGAAGGCAATCCCTTCCACCAGGCCGCTGGAGAGATGGACCTGGACGGCTGGAGAGATGGAGGAAAGATCCTGGATGGGTGGAGGATCAATGATTCTCAGATAGGAAATTAGAGGAATAGGTGTTGTCTTTTTGGGGGGGAAGAACGATTTGACGAAAAAGGGACCAGCTATAGGAGCTTGAGCCGTTTGCACAGATCTGTTTGCATGTTTCATCATGCTTCCCTTGGCTTTTGGAACTGCAGGTGTTTTTCCTGCCGCACCAACAGGTGTTCAACGATGTTGAACGGATGACCAGATCTGCCCACTTCGGGGCTACTGGAAGATATGGAAGGGAACTATTACGGGAACTCCTCATTCTCACATTTTCTGAAATTGGAAGATCGATCAGGTTGAAGGGAGCCAGCGAAGCAACTCCCGGAATCGCCTGGACTCATTCATTCATTCATTGGCTCCCTCAGACACCCTTGGAAAACCTCCAAAAAGAACAGCCTCCATACATGAGGGGTAGTATGGAGGCTGGCTTGGAGAGTTTCCATGTTGGCGGGGTCTCTCGGTATGCTGAATTCGGGGCTGAGGACGCAATGTGGCGTCATCCTTATTTCGGGCGCCATTTGAGGTTGAACCCAATCAATTCAATGGGACATCGAGATCCGCCCCACGTTCCCATTCAACCGGTTCTGAGGACTTGATCCCAACATCATCCAATTGAACCCATTTGAGATCAAGTCTTTGGTGCCACAAGGACCATATGTAAGAACACCATAGACCACCGCACCATGCCGCACCATGCCGCCTGCTGCGCCGACGGACATCAGCCATGTTTGCCATGGTGCAGGTTAGAAAAGAGAAGACTCATTGTAAATGATCCAGGTGTCCCTTAGAACTTATCACTGAAGCATCCTTAAGCCTTAAACCTTCAACCCCCCTTAGCACTTTTTGCCTCAACATGGCACCTGAAGCCAGCAAAAATGGTAAACTCATGTAATCTCTTCTTCCTCAAAAGGATTCCCGGTGCTTCGAAACCCTTTTATTTCCGGTGCCAATGTGGCGAGTTCGATCGCCTGATGAGTTGCTGCGCCGTTGGCTGGACAACGACTGCTTGTGCTGGGGCCTGGGACCCTTCGTGGCCGTGAATCTGGGCTACTTCGGTGCTACTTCGGCATTTCGCAAACCCTTGCAATGATACAGTCTAGCAGGTGTACTGACTGAAGAGGTTCAAGGAGTTACAGTAATTACCGTATTGAAACCTCTTCGCCTGGACCAACCGTCCGTCAACCGTCAACGTGGCTTCATCACTTGACTGGTCACTCTGGACCAGTCGATTTGGTCATCCGCAGACCATGTCCGAAAGGTGCTTGGATGTCTCAGATAGGTTTGGAGGGGCTGCGCCTACTGTAGACTGTCTATTGATGAATGCAACCGCCCTTAATTTTATGGAGACGTTTGGCCATCCAGATGGTTTTTGTTTTCATCAACTGTCTATACATCACCTGAGAAGGTGCTTGGGATCAACTAACTGAGGCACTGCTGGGCTCCTGGAGCTGCTTCGCACGAATTGGTGTGGTGTGCGTGGGTCCTTTATTGAGCAGCTTGCTTGGACAGTTGGATAATCTTTTGTACCAGCGAACCCTGATTTAGGTCACTGGACTCTGATGTTATTTGGTTGCATAGTTTGTATGTTCATGTACAACAAGCTGTTGCTTCCCAGCTGTCGACTTGGACCAGTGAGGTATGAGAAGCCACGGGAGGAGGCCTTGAAGGCCACAGAAGAGAAGATCCTTTCGCTGAACGCTCGCCCGTTCGAGAACCGGAAGCCAAGGAACCGGTCTGACCAGTCTACAAGTGCTTTGCCGGGTCGTGACAAAGTGATCGAAGGGATCGAAGTGATGATCCTTTTGTTTCTTCCTTTTTCAAGTGCGATCGACAGTGGACAACTGAACCTCAAAGGTGATGCGACCGAAACAAGGAAAACACAGTGGAAAACACATCGTACCAATGAATATCATGGATCGGGGCCTCCCCAGGAACTTTGAGTCGAGAGGGTCAACACAGGATCCGAGACTGGAGAGCTGAAGCACTCCCAGCCCCACTCCTGGCATCAGCTCGACCTGCTTTTTCTTTAAGATCTTTAAGTCAATGACTTAATGTTAAACTGATCGAGGGTCACGGAGACCCGTAGATCCTCCAAAAGATGGGTGTCATCCTGCCCACAGTCTCAGGATCTCCTTTTGGAAACAGCTTCGCGTGGCGTGTTGGACTATGCTGGGCCCCACGGCACTCTGCAATGTGTGCCTCACTGCTTTGGCCTTCCCTCGTTTGGTGGCGACAGGGAGACTTGGCAAAGACCTGGGTCACATGTTCCACATTCTACCCCCCCCTCCCTTGGATCAGTGGCTATTTCCCGGGCCGTCCACGATCCCGGCACCCTAACATGACCTGCAATTCAATCTCGAACAGAGAGGGATCAGCCACCTTCGTATCTTTTTTGGGCAACACCAAAGTAAAGCAGTCCGATTTCCCCAAAGAATCTATGGCATACCTTCAAATCGTCTCTTTGGAGGTCCATGAACCAAAGCCTGGCAGGAAGTCATTTCCACTTCTTCCAGGCTTCAAAGATTTCCTTCTTCGCTTTCTGGCGATGGAACTCCTGGGTCACTCGCTGGCGGAACGTTCGCACTCACCGCGGGGTTGTCCAGGGCGAACGAACCTGTGCGTGCGTGCGCGGGGTGGACGCGCGGGGTGGCCGAGATCGGAACAAGAGAGATCTCCGGGGAAGCAGACCGAACAAACGGACCTGCCAGTGAACGGACCCACTTGCAAGACCTCCAAAAGGAAAAAAGGACACCCTTCACGTGGATGTCAGTTTGCTCTTGCGCTGGGTTTCGCTGGGGGAAACTTCCATCTATAAAGAATCTATAAAGTACATCATGAGCATCATGATCAGAAGATGTCGCCTCAGATCGGAAGAAACACCGACTTCTGCATGACGAGGTGACTTCTTCCTATACGTTGGCCATCGTATTCTACATGAATATTTGTGGGACTACCACAAGTACCACCACTTGATTGACACACCAACGGCCGTGAGCACCGCATGCATTGATGGATTAGATGCCACAGTGCAAGCTGGTATCCCGACTATGGGAGCTGCGGTGCTGATGCAGCCACACCCTCTGACCTTCTGTGCATATGCATATGCTCGTGTGGCGGAGAATGTGTTGAACCATTGTGGTATGGAGCATTGGCTTCTGAACTTGGTCTTTTTGAAGTTCCTCCCAGGCCGCGCAGGGGTCGCCAATCACGATGCGCATCACAGGTACTCGAACTATGCAAAGAATGCGAAGAACTTCGGTGAGAATTTCTGGTTGTGGGACTGGGCCTTTGGAACTTTGGGCCACGTGGGTTCCACGAAGAAGTTCTGAGTGAACGCGAACCTCTGCAAGAGTCATCTTGTGCTTCGAAAGATGTTTGCATAGGTGGCTTTGATCGAGTGCATTCGGATTGAAAAGACCAGAAAAAGAAGGATGATTATACTGTATACTCAGTTTTGCCTTTCTTGGAGATGAAGTCACTCGGTGGCCATCTTCGTGACGGCCATTGTGGAAAAGGGCAGCTGCTGGGCAAATAAAAACCACCGAGTTGAGTGCAAAAGATGCAAGCGCGCGGACCTGTGGGTTTGGGAAGAAGTTGGGTCGAAGTCACAATAGCGGACACCAGAACATGCCGCACATATCCGCACATTTTTATCACTGGCTTGCTGGTGTGAGTGTGAACTTTGTACTTTCCAGATTGATACCGAGCTCTTGGTATCGTTTGGTTGGCCCTACATCAAAAGTTCATGGTCGGCATCAGATCGATTGGTGTTGATCGTCACTTTTGATCCAGGGAATCTGGTAGTGATTTTCTTTTAACAACCAACTTCTTAAATACTTTGGAGGTGTTTCAACTCAAGTTGCTTGGAAAAAGAATTTCAAGTGGGTGTGTCGGTGTATCTCCCAAGTTGGGATCCCATCAAACTTGTTTTTGATGTTTTGGAAGATACTCTTTATGAGTCATACACCCAGCATCGAAACCCAGTCGAAAATCGCCACATATGATGTAATTCTTGATTCACGCAACACTGCATGCGATCAATGCAGCTCGGGAGCCCTTGCCGAAACAAACTACGGACCGCTGGAGGTCCAGGTGTTTCGGATTCGGGAGCCCGTCCCACGTGACGACGATACCGACCGTCCCCGTGTCAGCAGCCCGGACTGGGTGCTGTTGAGATCAAAGACTTGACCTTCTAATTCTATTGAATTCCATTGTTCCTAGTAGTATGGCCAGGAGCCCCGTTCGTAGCGTCCATGCTGACGCCAGGGCAAGTTCAGTGGCGCACCTGGTGCAACGGTGCAAGCTGGTCTTTTCGCACCTCGCACAGCCGGTCGAGCGGTCAGCGGATGAGCAGTCATCGGCTCGGCTGGTGTGGCTAGTTAACGTTGGATCCTGGGCATTGGATCTCCGAAATCTGCCTGGAGAGACAGGTTCCACCTTGCAAGATGACATGAGGCGACCAACATTTGAGACACTGACCAAGTGAAGGAGATGGGTGTATGTAGGGTCCTGCTCGTCGGGTCCTGTTCCATGAAAGATGCTTTAATCACCAAGTCCCATGGGTTGCCCGGCAAGTTCTTTATCACATAGACTAAGAGTTGTTGACCTCGTTTCAGATGATTATGTTGAATAAATTGTTCCTGGGAAGATTTGACCAGTCCTCTTTGAACTGATTCAGAGTTTGTGTCAGCTGCACTCGTGTGTTCCGTCCTGGGTCACTTGGAGCCCCCTGTTCCACCATGTCTCATTGGCCCTCCAGGTCAACCAGTCGGTCTCTAGGTGAACCATGACTGCAGGACAGTTTTTTACTCACTTCTCCCGGCCAAGTCGATGGCTAAGGCAGTGGACTTGCGCGTGAAGGAGCTCAAAGTCTCTCAATTAGGCGCAGCATGCTGCGGCAGTGAGTGCGCTGTGACGTGCGCATAGATTCGGTAGATGTTCGGGGCATTGAGAAAAGATAAGGCACTAATATAATATAATATATAATATATATATATATATTTGTATATCATTATATATCATATTATAGCTGAGATTTTCATGTTCAGTCATGCCACTTCATGCCATGATCCTGTTGCCATTTAACCTCCAATGCACTAGAAGGGTGGGCACGCACATGTCGACATCGACGCCTTTGGAGAAAAGCGAGCTTGAGAAGCAAGCGCTGTAGATCCAGGGGCCAGGCTCCGTCGAGGGCCGAACAATCGCATTGGTAGCGCGGCAAAGGTCAGCGCCGCTGCTCCTCAGGTTCGCTGCCTGATGTTCTTCGATGAGCTCTACGAGGACTTTGATGGCGCGGCTGAGTTTGGAGACGCAGCCTTCGATGATGGCGCGATCCCAGCTGATCCCATGGAGGATGATGGAGATGATGATGACCAGGTCTACGACTTCGATGACCTGGATGATGGTGGAGGACCAGCTCGTCCCTTGGGTCCGAATGGCAGCCCGGCCTCTTCAGCAGCTCCTTCTAGGAGAAGAGGATCGAGAGGCTCACGCCCTTCGCAACAAGGCCAAACTGGTCAAGGCTCTCGCAAGTGGCGATCAGGCCACATCCCTGCCCCGCCGACCTTCGCGGGGAACGTGGAGGACGAACCCTACTGCTTGCGAGATTACCGTCGTGCTTTGCGACGGTGGACGACGATTACAAAAGAGTTTTTGCCGGCCAACGAACAGGCCTTGAGAGCGCTTGACGCGCTCACTGGCGAGGCCGCCTTGGAGCTCGAAGAGGTGGACGACGAGCGCTACAACAAGGAGACCGGGATCCAGCAGCTCCTCGATGATCTTGAGATCAGCTTTGGCGAGCGCGAGCTGTTTCGACGCGGAGGACTGATCCGCGAGTACGAATCCCTGACAAGGGTCCAGGGAGAGTCGGTCTGCGCCTTTCTTCGAAGGTTCAGGCTCTATGAGAGGAAGCTCAAGGACGCCCAGGTCCCTCCTTATCCGGACGAGACACGAGCGGTTAAGCTGCTCGATGGTCTACGCCTTGACGAACGTGCCACTTCGCAATTGCTCCTAGCTGCCGGCAATCGCTACAGCTTCCAAGCGCTGGTTGAAGCGATCCACATCCAATATCCAGCAGGGCTGACGCTGACGGGGATGTCACGACATCCAGTCCCTGTTCACGTCGCCTCAGCGCCACGACATCGAGGCCGAGGACATCAGCCCCGAGGTCGAGGAAGAGGCGGAAGTTTCCGCTGGAAGACATGGCACACCGAGGCCATGCCTGCAGATGACGACCCAGTTGAGGAGGTCTTCATGACTGCCGGCGATGAAGTCCCGCAGTATGAGGACGACCCGAACGACGACACCTTCGACTACCAGTTCGCTGACTATGATGAGCAGGCTGATGACTATGCAGCCGCAGCCGAGGAGTTCGAGCCCGATGAACTCCCTGAACATGAGGCCGGCGATGACGCTGGCGATGAACACCAGGCCATGACGGCCACAAGCAAGCGCCTGGCTGCAACCATGCAGTCAAGGGGCTACTACACCACTGCCAAAGACAAAGGCAAGGGCAAAGGCCATGGAAAAGGTGCTGGCAAGGACAAGGGCTTTGGTAAGAAGGGAACTACATCCTCTTCTTCGCCTACGACCACTTCCAAATGAAAAGGGTCCGGCAAGTCCAAAGCCGGTTCAAAGGGTGGGAAGTCCAAGATGAACCCCACTCAGCGGCAGCGCATGCAGGCCAGTCTCTGCCTGGGTTGCGGTGCCTCAGATCACTGGCTCCGCGAATGCCCTCATGTCACACAGCACCAAGCTCATGTGTGCTCGGCTTCATCCACCCTGGATGGAGATGGCACTGTGGTTTGGACGGCAAGCCACAACAAAATGCCTGGATGGCAGCCTGAGCCTGATCCCACGCCTTCATCGTCTTCGGCACCTTCAACGCTGAGCAGGCGAGACGAGGAAGAACCACCTCCGCCGCCTCCGCCGAGGCAGGTCATGACTGATGATGACAGCCTGCCGCCCTGGGAAGCTCTGGTTCCAGATGGATGGAATCCCGACGACTATGCCGACTATGAAGACGGCATGGCTTTCTGGCGACAAGAAGCTCAGAGCTTGAACGCCCTCATGGACGAGAATGGCAACATCCCAGGAATGAGGGAGCTTCCTTCACCAACAGGTTCTTTTCGAACCGCTCGGGCCACAGAGTCCGAATTTGCTTCTTGTGCACCAAGCAGAGCTCCGAGCGAATTTCATGACGCTCAGAGCGAGGCTCCTAGTGAAGCCACTCTTGAGGTTTTTGGTGCTTTCGGTTCACCCCCTTTGCTTTTGTCCAGCGTAGCAGCTTCATCTCATGATTTTCCACGTCATGTTCATTGGGGAGAGGACCCAAGGACCTCAAGAACACAACAATGGGGTGAGGACCCAAGGACCTCAAGAGAAGAACAACAATGGGGCGAGGACCCAAGGACCTCAAGAGTAGAACAACAACGGGGAGAGGACCCGAGGACCTCAAGAGACATAGGCTGTCCATCACTTACCCTAGAGGGGTACCCATTCTTAGCCGCACAGTCGGCTCCCCAAGCGGCACCTTCGCCGCCTTCACCTTGGACGCGCGCCATGGCATTTGAGGGACTCTCAGCTGACGATGAGAGTGGAAGGCCAGCCAGGCCTCTGAATGAACATCCGCTGATGCGGATGAGACACACTTCAGGTGCGGCAAGCACTTCAGCTATGCCCAGCAGCTTCAGAACGGAAGGCTACTACCGGGTGGAAATGGTTTCCACCTCATCCATGTCTTTGAAGCCACCGTCCTTGCTGCGCCCCTCGATGGCAACGGTTCCTGAAAAGGACGCTGAGGGCAAGCCGCATGATCATTTGTTTCGTGCACCCCCAATCACCAACATGATGCAGTACACGGACGAGCCATGCCTGGCCATAGTGGACACTGGCTGTCAGCGACAAGTGGCTGGCCGCCGATGGCATGAGCTCCATCTCAACCACGTGCAGCTCCCCAGACTGTTTTTCGTGGAAAACTGTGCTTTTCGTTTTGGTCCGAGCAAGAGTTCACGATCAAGAGAAAGGTATGCATACCCAGCAGGTCTTGGAGGTCATTTTTGTGTGATGTTTTTCTCATGTGTTGAAGAAGATGCACCCGCTTTGATGTCACGCCACACCATGACCACACTCGATGCCATCCCGGACATTTCAACGGGCAAGATGATCTATAGGGCTTTGAGCACCACCTCACAGCTGTATCTTTCCACCTGCGGTCACTTAGCAGTTCGCCTAGATGAATGGCCTGAAGAACTTCCAAGTTGGCCATGTCAGATGCCCTTGGACAAGAACGAGTTGCCTGATGTTTGGGCTCCGACTGCCACTCCGG